CAGCGAGGTAGGGACGTGGGAAAGGCAGCGGAAGGGGGCTAGGAGGACGGGGCGGAGGGAAGGGGGAGTTAGTTACCTACCACTACCTCTCAGGACTCCGTATCTAGGTTGCGACGGGCAATCTCAGGCTTCAGGTCTCGTATTAGGAGGAACTTCAGGCTAAGGAAGCTCGTCAGGGTTAGGCTCAGGCTTAGGAAGAAGGACGCGACAGGCTTAGGATCGTCGGAAGGAAAATCGTCGAGCGCAGCAGGCTTAGGAAGGCCGATATACGCCCACGGACAGGACAGGGGAGGTGTTTATCGTATCATCTCGACCTCCCTCTCCTCCGCGAGGTACCAGAGACCTCGCTCCCTCCTTCCGCAGCCGTCAACTCGCACCAACGACCCCCGCCCATCGTTTTCACCGATACCTAGAATTCCCTTCCGCGTCGTCTACGCATCGGGGACTCGCAATCACCACAACGCGTCAACGGCCACCATCCTCCGCCCTCCGAATCAGCCGCTGCTTTAGCTCTGGCCGGCCGACTCGGATTGCGACTCGGGTTGCGCAGGTGCCAAGAGTGTCTCAGAACCAACTTCTCACCCTCAACCCCAGGTATCTCACTCCCCGTGCAACGTGACTCAAGGCCGTTCGAGCCGTACGCATCATATGAGGGATGTGAGGGGCCAGAATGTCCCCGAGCCAAGCGGCTAATGCACCCAATAAACCCCCGATAATAGCTCCAACGATAATAGCACACAAAATCCACGAGAGTGGAATACCGCCCATTGCTGCCGACTGAGCCTGCGCGAAGAGGCAGCCGGAAGGGACAGAGGCGCCCATCGCAGATTGTATAGCAGCCGCGGTAGAACCTGCAGACAACACTGAGGGTTAGTGTCTGTTCAGCACGATTTCAGCCACTGAGCACCGCACCTAGCAGCACGCCCGTCGCCGTAAAGCCAATTGCTCCGAGAATGGCAGGGAGAGCGATTGGCAGGACTACCGCGCCTGCGGCGGCGCCGATGACGATGTATCGAACAGTGCGGCTAAAGACGACATTGAGCCAACCAAGTCGACCGTACTGGACGCCGCATACCTCTGCATATTGTGTAGGTATGTTCTTGTGCGATATGGCCACAGTGGAGGCTTCAGGTGGGAGGACAGCGTATGAGGTCCTGCTACGCGGACGTCAGCATTTTGTATACACTGCGGTGTCTTCCTCCCTGGCTTCGCAGACACTTCTTCACAGACACGTAAAGGAGGGCAGGTGTTTGAAGACCACGCCTTCTCCGCACACCTGCCACCAGTGCCCCACACGACGCGACGAGTCATCCAATGGTAAGTAACTCGAGCTACCGCATTCGCGTGGAGCTCGAGCTCACTCGGATATACGTAATACAACTCAGAATCAGAGACAGGCGGCTCATGCATGCATCACAGGAGAAGTACGAATACTGACCGTCATAAATGTCCATTGATCACAACGAAACACGACGCTATTACGAGGCTGCGTTCTCAGAAGGTTCGCCAACGGGGGTCACGATGGAATGATATATCCATATACATTGAGAAGATAGAGCCTCTGAGCCATTTCAAAAAGTTCAGAACATCCGCAGTAGCATGAGGGAGACACGACTTACCAAATGAATGTGAAGGTGGTCATAGCCGGGACGAAGGAAGGATTGGTGCGTGACAGAGCTCACCGGGCGCCGCTTCTGCTGCTGCTGATACAGTTCACAAGTACGTCTGCGAACCTCACTGTGAGGCCTCTATAGTCCAGAGTCCAGACCTTCCGCCTTCAAGTCCGAGAGCCGCTCTTGCAGAAACGAGTGCCTCGGTGTTTATCGGAGTTCGCGCCAGGACCGGTCGCACTCAGACTGCGTCCGGGACTCCGACGAGTAGAAAGTATCTACATAAGTTAAACGATTCATTAGGAATACCTTTTCTGCTACTGACAACTATGGAAGCTCACCATGACTGCTCAGATGGTGTTCTTGCAATGAGAACGTGAGCAGGAACTCGGTACACTAGAAGCTACTCGAAGAATGGAGCCGGTGAGCTAAATGTTTGGATGCGTGGCACGAACCGTACCTCGATTCTCTGAACGAGTCTGTAGGTAGTGATTGGGTGGTTAGAAAGACTCCGGCTTAGTACGTCTTTGTTGTCCCGCTCGCGCTAACTCAGCGAACCTGTACGAGCCTTCGAAAAGGGGTGATGCAGCGGGCTCTGTACATATCGTACACGCGTGTACAAGTTCGGGTGGAATGCACGTACCGTGATGCAATAGGTTCGAGCCGTTATACGTCGGCGTCCCACACGAGGCCTGAGAATGCTAGGTAGATTATCAAGTACTGCCATGGGGTAAGCCGATCGTGAGGCCGACCTCGAGCATGGCCAATGGGTCGACCGTGACGCTATTGCGGCGAGCCTGCTCAAAAACATGAGGAGGCATATGTGAGGAGGATCAGGAGCCAAGGGCACGCTTTCAATTTGGCGCCTACATGGTCAGACAAGGATATCCTGAGGACGAAGGTTGAAGGAATTGTCTACGTCTGCCTGGGGAGACTAATACGTGCATGGCCGCCATGTCCGAGTCGAGCGAGAAGCACCGGCATGGGACCACTGCGTTCCCGGTGGCTGCCAGTAGACTCTTCCTCCTCCTCCCTCCTGCGAGTGTTCCCCAAATTGTACATCGTTCTACTCACGCTCTGCCTATCTTTCTAGACATACTCTGCTTCACATGCTCAACGTTCAACCCTCAGTTATGCTATGACGGCTCGTCACGCCAGTATTCGCGGGTCTGCGCATCTGAGTCCATCGGATTCACTACCCAAGTCAGGATGCGCGTGCAGAGGCGTGCAGACTCCAGTTTCCTCGCGAGATGCGCCCTGCGATGGAAGAAGTCGGATGTTGCTGGAAGTGTCATGGCGTGATGGACATTGGGCATCAGTGACTAGTGAGTAGTGCGTCAAGGCGATGCATGTAGCTCACGTATATCTTCAAGCTCACGTTCGAGCTATCGAACTTCAAGGGTCGCCGGGATTAGCGATACGGAGTATCGCGACTGTGTCATAGAGGCGCACAGATCTGGCACGGAAGTCGGCGGTCTGTTCGTGGGTGCGATTGTGAACGCCGTCGAGACTCAACTCACCGGTAGACATAGATGTCTGACTCGCAAAGGGACCCTGTGCTTGCTCTGTTCTCAACGACACCGAAGCGTACCTTGTGCCACGTTTGCACACAGGCATTCTCGCATCCTCGAAGACGTGCGCGGCGATCCTGGAGTGCGGTCAGGTCATACTCGCAGGACTCAGGATGAAAAAAGACCTCGCCATGTCCGGTAGGGGATGCAATGTCGTATCGACGATCTAGCATGACCGGGTCGATCGCGCTGGGGGCGTTTCGTGATATGGGATTCCTCGCGAAGGCTAGATATGACGAGGCATGTGTCGCTACCATCTACCAGCCAAACACTGACAGTGAATGCACAGGTGGTGGGCACAGATCGACTCCAAGCCGAGTCCACACGCGACACCGTGACGACAGACCGCAGTCCACAGCACAACAAACGCGACATGGTATCTGAGCACGGGATATGGTACGGGATATCCAATAAGATATTTTGAATATCCCGTTCGGGGATATTGTGATCGGAGATATGGAAAGTCTAGATACCTAAAGTATCCCGGAATGAATTACTTTGAGTTTCCCCCACACAGTATCGCAGGCCGGAATATGTTGAGGCATGTTTAAAATATCTCTGGCCACCGTGACAATGATGTCCGTTTCCGTCTAACCATCGCCCATAACCACGTAGCCTGTTTTCATTGTCCAGCGGCACGCGTAGTCACGGACATGTCACGCCGCAGGCCCGAGCCGTCACTTACCGGAAAAGGCAACTGTGGCTCCCCGCTGCCGCCGGGGCGAGTTGCGGTACGCGGTATGGTGCGTTGCGCGTCGCGGTTTGATGTGTCGCGGTGCGTCGCCTCGTGTCATGGTATGGCATGGCGCGTCATGTCACGGTACGGCGTGTCATGTCATGGCATGGCACGGTACGGTGTGGCGTGGCATGTCATGGTACGGCGTGTCATGGCACGGTACGGCGTGTCATGGCATGGCACGGCGCGTCGTGTCACGGTATGGCACGGCATGGCACGGTACGGCGCGTCGTGTCATGGCACGGTACGGCGTGTCATGGCACGGTACGGCGTGTCATGGCACGGTACGGCGCGTCACGGCGCGGCGCGTCATGTCACGGCGTGGTACGGTATGGCGTGCTGTGTGGCGTGACCGTACCCGCCGCTCGCGCGTTCGTGCTTGCCGTGCCACTGGCGCGAGTCGCACGGCATAAGCACCATACTTACCCGCACCGTGTCATGACACGGCACGCCGTACCACGCCGTGACATGACGCGCCGCGCCGTGCCATGACGCGCCGTACCGTGCCATGACACGCCGTACCGTACCGTGACATGACACGACGCGCCGTGCCGTGCCGTGCCATACCGTAGCGTGTCATGACACGCCATGCCATGCCGTGCCATGACACGCCATGCCATGCCGTGCCATGACACGACGCGCTATACCGTGCCACGCCGTGCCATACCATACCGTGACATGACATGACATGCCGTGCCACACCACACTATACCATACCGCGCCGTACTGTACCGCGCCATGCCATACCGCAAGGGGCGTCCAAAACTCTAATTCACTGAATCGACCACCCCCGACCCAACCCCGGGCGAGTGCCAGGGGTCCAGAAAATACACCCGCGCCCACTTTTCCGCCCACTTTTCCACCTACCGTTGTTCAGCATCTCGCGATGATTGTAAAAGTTGTCAGGCCGCATCCCTGCTGCACTAATAATGGATGTGAAAAGTACGAATGTCAAGAATGAGACGGCTTCATTGTAGACAGACCGGACAGCTGTCGCACGTGATGAGAAACACAACCAGCATTCTTAGTCAGCATCGACACGCCTCCAGCCTCGGTCACTGTGGCGAGCCCGAACTAGCGCATCTCTTTTGGCTTCGTTGGTTTCCCTTCAGCAAGAGGTAAGGCAATACATCCAAAATGAGTCAACATTCATTGTTTGCCTTCTAGCTAGCGCCTATGATTGTTACCAGGTGGTTGCGAGTGTCTTCTGTTTTCTTCACCTCGCGGCCTGTGGGCGCTAAAAGTGGTTGGTTGGGGGTCTGGTTTTCGGGGTCCTGCCTCGCACTTTTCAGGGGTCGATGCAGTGAATTAGAGTTTTGGACGCCCCTTGCCATACCGTACGGTGACATGACGCGCCCACGACGCGACACACAGTACCGTGACTGGCCACGGCCTGACGCGGCAGGGAGCCACAATTACCCTTTCCGGTAACTCCAGCGTGACATGTCCGTGACCGTGCATGGCGCTGGACAATGAAAGCGGGGAATATGGTTGTGCGCAATGGTTGTACAAAAATGGATGTCATTGTCACAGTGGCTGCAAGCGCACTGGGGATATTTTAAGAACATCTCACCATATCCCGGCCTGTGATACTGTGTGGAGGAAATTCAAAGTATTCCATTCCGGGATACTTCAAGTATCTAAACTTTCCATATCCCACAATACAGTATCCCACAACAGGATATTCAAAATATCTCATTGGATATCCCATACCGTATCCCGTGTTCAGATACCTTGTCAGGTTTGTTGTGCAGATGGTCGATGGTCGATCATCGACATCGACCGTTGGCAGCGCCGTTAATACCGTCCGTCTGGTGTACCGTTACAGTACGCTCTATGTATCACACCAAGCCACGCTGACGAATATTCGTGGGTAAATCAATGCGATTATCCAATGGAGAGGCATTGCTCAGTTGTAACATTGAAGACGGAGTGGAAGAGAGCATGCGCGGGCACTGTTTGACTTTCTCTCTTTCCGCTACCCCCACCTGCAGGTACAACACTGATATCGAACACTCGGCATGCCCAGATTATGGCTAGCGTTCTAGCTCCGACTCGCGTCGTATACCTCCGTGGCTTCGGACGGCGGGGCGTTGTCAATACTGACAGTTGACGACCGCGAACGCGTCACGAAACCTGGGATATATAGGAGCACGGAACTCATGATACAACGTACGCTGTGTCCAGCATGACCGTAACCGTCGTCCATCGCGAACACAAGCGACTCCATGTCACGTATTTCCGTGACGTTGACGTATCTCTAGTCGAGTGGATGAGCATACCGAGCAGGACGACGGAGTCATGATAGTAATACTCACTAGCGTAGCACTGTATCATAGATATATTCACCATCCGCGTTAGGCATGAAATGGAGCTCTACGGCTTCGCGATCTAGCCATGGCGCGAACAGAGTGTTGATGTAAGGCTTCATTGCGGACAACATGGCAAAACCCTCTTGTGACTTGTCGGTTCTGAAGCAGATACTTATGCGGCCAGAATTAGAGGGCCGCTCAAAGACGGGGCGAGAAAGGATGGCATGGAAGGTCGAGATAGAGTCGATAGGGTCTGTCTCGGCGAGTGATACCTCGTTTCCATTTTGAGATGTCTTGGAGTGGACAAACATTTCGAAGGAGATGTAGAGTGACTCCAGATGCGGGGATTGGATGCCGTATAGCAAGAAACCCAGAACTCTCTGGACCCCCGGCGGTGATAATGTGCAGGAGAAGCCCATGCTCAGTTCCGTGAGTGATGTGTTTGCTGTGAGTCGCGGTATAACATCATGGATCGAGGCTACAGCAGTCTCGATGAGCGATCGCAGGCATAATAACGGGCGAATAGTGCCTTTACCGTCATCAATAAAGCAATTCCATGTGAACGTCTTGAGCTTAGCTCCTGTGACACGCAGTACCTCTGTGATACGCGGTACGAGCTCTGCAAATCGGCCACCCTCTGGTGAGATGCTGAACCTCAGGGTTTCCAGTTGACTGCATGCTCGTGGGGTCGATACCAGCTTGAGAAGCGGCGATGCCCACGACATGGCGGGTACGTGGACGAGTTGGAAAGCCGACAGTGGGCGGGTGAGAGAATGTTCTGCATACAGGGCCATGTCTTCCGCCGAAGCAGGATTGCCATATGAGCTGAACTCCCCGCGTACCAGCAAGCAGGACAGATTGGGGAAACGACATAGAGATCGATGAAGATGCGAAAGCGAGGAACAGTAGAGCAGGTCTATGTCTAGGTCGACCACGGTTGGGTGCGTGGCACAGACATCCAACAGGTCTCGAGGAACCGTCATGTCACTATGATTGTCATCGTCCGAGGATGGGCGGGAAATTTGAAGAACAACTTTTTCTAGCTTGTTGCGAGACGAAGGGACATAGTCAGGCACCAAGTCGGGCATGTGTAGGTGCTGCAGCATGATGTCGCAGAGCATGAGGTCTTTAAGGCCGGGTAGTGCATTGAGAATCCTACGGAGTTCCGCCGCACTGCGGAAGCGACACCGCCAGAGTCGCAGACCCGTAATGCTGGTATAGGAGGAAAGGAGGTCGAAGAACATTCCATGTGGTCTGGTTCCTACCCAGTCGCACATTTGTACAAATAGTTGCTGCAGATTCGGAAGAAAGCAACCGGGGAGCCTAATGAGTGGGAAATCACGTTTCGAACGGTCCACCCGGAGTGCATTTGGCCCGTTTGTAACGGTGGACCCGGGCTCGGCCGGAGCACTCCGGGTCCACCGTTCGGAGCGGCCGCCGGCAGCAACGAACCGGCCGGAGGGAGGGTGGTGGTTAGGAATGGTCCGGCCGGCCTGTGGTGTAACGTTCCGGCCGGACCTCAGGCGAACGACCCGGCCGGAGGCCTCGAAAAAAATAGGCTTTCTACGGTCCGGCCGGACACAGACCCAGCGTTCCGGCCGGACCCCTTGTCAACGACCCGGCCGGAGGCCTCGAAAAAAATAGGCTTCCTACGGTCCGGCCGGACACAGACCCAGCGTTCCGGCCGGACCCCTTGTCAACGACCCGGCCGGAGGCCTCGAAAAAAATAGGCTTCCTACGGTCCGGCCGGACACAGACCCAGCGTTCCGGCCGGCAACCAGGTCAACGTCCCGGCCGGAGGCCTCGAAAAAAATAGGCTTCCTACGGTCCGGCCGGACACAGACCCAGCGTTCCGGCCGGCAACCAGGTCAACGTTCCGGCCGGAGGCCTCGAAAAAAATAGGCTTCCTACGGTCCGGCCGGATGCATACCCAACGTTCCGGCCGGCAACCAGGTCAACGTCCCGGCCGGAGGCCTCGAAAAATATAGGCTTCCTACGGTCCGGCCGGATGCATACCCAACGTTCCGGCCGGCAACCAGGTCAACGTTCCGGCCGGAGGCCTCAAAAGAAATAGGCTTCCTACGGTCCGGCCGGGGCTCATATCAATGATCCTGCCGGCCAAATCGGCACCAGAATTGTTAAGGGCAATCATCCAGACAACGTGACATCACATGAGATGGCGCATGCATGAACCAGCACCTAGCCGGGGTCACTTGAGCACTGACAACATCACATGCCTACAAACATGAGGCAAACACATGGTCACCACATGTTGCCCATCAGGTCCTCCACATCGTGCAAACTTGTTGCGCAACTCTTCTCCAATCCCCCCCCCCACTCTCCAACATGACTACCGCACAGATCAGCACCCAATTTCGTTCCTACCTGAAGGGGACATATTTACACTGGCTGTCTCGCATGCAGGAGGGCCAGGCGATGAAGCCCGAGCCACTTCCAGGTCTCTTCCTGGATGTGTATATGATACGCCAGGCGACGAATGCTGGCAAGATGTTAGCTCAGGCTTATTGTAACCGAAGTGAGCTTCCATTGACCGCAATCGTAAGCTTGGCTAACACTCCACTTGGAGGGAGCGTTGAATGGGACGCATTGACTTATCCGATGACAACACCGAGCGATGAAGAAGCCGAGAACGTACAGTACGAGGCGTGCAAGGAGCCTGCGACCATCGAGGATAGCGCAGGCCGGATTCTTTTGTGGCATCTCCCCGGCGTAATCACACCGTACTACCAGGTATGCGAGATCGCCCGGCAGACATCACACTGGTTGTTAACAATCAAGCAGCAGTTCATATGGGACACCGCAGGTCAACTGGAACCGCTGTTCCTCCGCTACCCCCCTACCACCACCGAGAAGTGGAGACAAGATATCAACAACTACCGCAATGCGGATGAATGTCCAATCTTCCCGCCGTCGTGCTTGTCTGCCTCGCCCGGCTGGTTTCAGCAGGGTCATACGGTGGGCATCCATGGCGTACTGATCATCATATGTTGTATTAATCCGCAACAGGGTACTACAGGTCCACCCCAGGTATCGCGGCTGCTGAGGGAACCGACCTCGCTCGCCCGACCGTGGCTCTCGGCGATGGAGCACCCCCATATCATCCTCTCGGCGATGCTCGAGATACTCCATCCGGACCTCTATGCAAGTGGCGTGGCGTCGATCAATGCACTGCGCAACGACCCGGACCGCGCTAGCGTCGCCGAGATATGGAACACGCCATTCAACGCCTTATCGGTGATTGCCAACCGGGCCAGTCCACTTCACCGAGACGTACTCTCGGCGAAGCACTGGTACGATATGATTCTCACGCTCGGCGGAGACAAGACCTTGCATATGGAGTATCCTACTTTGGGAATGAAGATGCCATACTACAGTGGCACTATGGAGGTATTTTCTGGCTGTCGCATACCTCATGCCGTACGGCAATCGACCCAGGAGCGCTTGTGCTTATCTTACTATATGCGTGAGGCGGTACATGCATGGACAAACGCTCCCCCGGCGGATTGGCGGATGGACTCGGAGTAGCTGTATAACCTTACACTGTGTTTACAATATATATGGAACTGTTGATGTGCTCGGCGGTTTCATCTTCACAATAACTGTACAGGTATAGCAGACAGTCTGGCCTAGCCAGCTGCCTTGCTGCCCAATCGTTCTGCCGGTGTTTGATTCGGCCGGCCGGTGCACATAAGAACATCAAAGCCTTCCCTGTCATATCACGAGATGTAAATACCGGTGCCAACACGACTGTACACTAATGGGACATCCCGACTATCCATCATGCGACTCTGAGACAGGACGGGGTGGCGAAGAGCCCGCCGCGGCACTCGGCGCTTCTCCTGGCTGCAAGACCGCTAACTCGGCCGCCTTCACTCGGTCCACCGCCCGCCAGTAATCCACCTCTGCCTGGATGTATAGATCCATGCCGGCCATCGATTCGCCGAGACTGTCCAACCAATTCAGGGCTTGGACTGGCACGTTTGGGGGCATGTTCTCCGGTGAGATCACACCTGGCTCGGGTATTTTTGGGAGCACAGGGAGGTGGATGCGGTCGGTGTGAGCTCTCACTTCGTCCTAGTTTTTATTGTATAAGTCCCATGTAATGTGAATGTGCTGTGTAAAACCTACCCGGAGCTTCTCCACATGCAGCCGGCCATCAAGATGCTGGAGTTGCTGTTGGGCGGCCTTCAATTGCTCGGCGACCATCTCTTGGATTTTGGCCTGCTCGGTCGTGATGTCATCGAGCGCATCTTCGATTTGATCCCGGACTTGAGGCGGATCTTCCATCCAAGCACCGACCTGCCCCTCTGTTGTGGCATGAATATCCGGAAAGGCCGGAGAGAATTGGTCAGTTACCTGGTTCACCAGAGTGCTCGGCGTGCAGCGAGGATGTCTCCGGCTGCGGCGGTTGAGCGACATCCGCTGCTCGGAAGCCGAGGATCATGTCCACCAGGACCTCCTCCTGGGTCTTACCCTCCGGCAGCATGATCGTGCAGTACTTGTCCATCACTTCCCCGAGACCCAGTTCCTCGGCCACATCAGGCTTCATCAGCCGCTCGAAGCCGAGCATCATGGCCGCCAGCGACTAGTGCATCAGTGGTTACTATGGTGCAGACACGTAAGTATGGATTGATCGCACCGTATAATGGATCATTGCTATGTATGGTAATTCTCCATTGCCCGTCGGGCGCAACTCCTGCCGGGCGAACTTGCCGAGAAGGTCCTTTGCGGTACTGTTGAGAAGAGGGCCGAGAGTGGAACGCATAGTGCAGCAGTGATTGGAAAGTAGCGGGGTGTTGTGGTGCTCGGTGCGCTTCGGCAATGAAGGTTAAGAGCAAATGATACGATCGTTATCTTCAACAAGCCACACACACCCATCACATGCCCGGTGTGGCTCGCACGTGCTGAGGCACCACCGGCGGCTCCGCATAAGGTTAAGCGTCACAACACACGTGCCAAGCGTTTGCCGACACGGGGATCTTCCCAGGGTTGTGTGTCACTGTGGCGCATTAGTGGTGGACAGTTCCTCTTGCACATCATCCACCAACCAAAATACTGTTCACTCAGCATGGCCCTGGATATGGTAAGTCATCGGCCGGCCGAGACAATCTCCCTTGGCTGATACACAATAGCATCCCCGCTCTGGACCATATCCCTGGCTGAGGGGAGAGTTGATGGTGTTTGCATTTTCAACCGCGTGAGCAAATCCCACGGTTCATCCTCTCCGTTTTTACTGACTAAATGTTGCAGCCACGCCGAGGTAGTGCCCTTCCGCCCGAATGCATACACAATCAACCGGTATTTCTTCGGGCATGTGGTCATGTCGGTGACCCATGAGAACAGCCGAGAAAGTGTGGAGATGCCGGAGATGGACGGCCGGCTGGCATTCCTCATGATGCTCATTGATTGGGTGGAGATCCGGGACCATTTGATTGATACCTGAGTTAATGTTCTGTCATCTTGCTCTCTTTTGTAATACATCATGCTGTGCTGCCTCCTTCTCACAACTGAAAGTCATATATTGGATAACCCTTCTAACACCCAGGGACTGGGCACAACTCTCAGGTTATGTGGAGTTGATTAGTGCTGACAGTCCCTCTAACTGAGTTTGCGATGACAGTCCCTCTATACGAAATGAGGTGTTTTCATCGCCACCAAGACCATAATTGGGCACAGCGACCCGCTTGTCTGTCCGCCCGGCGAAAGGATGCTCTCTCTCGGGCCGAGACTTCGGTTGTTCGCTCGGCCCGAGACTTCGGTTGTTCGCTCGGCCCGAGATTCGGCCGTTTGCTCGGCCCGAGGGTTCGGCCGTTTGCTCGGCCCGAGGATTCGGCCGTATGCTCGGCCCGAGACTTCGGCCGTATGCTCGGCCCGAGGTTTCGGGAATTCGCTCGGCCCGAGGGTTCGGCGCTTGCTCGGCCCGAGGTTTGGTGCTTCGCTCGGCCCGAGGTTCGCGGTGTGCTCGGGCGGAGTGGTTTCGCACATGAAGGGACGAGGAGGGCGAGAGTATGCGTTGTGGTTAATGCCATTGAGACATGATTGGCCAGGGTCGGGCGTCTTGGGGTAGCTTACTAAGTCTCCTCGGTGTATGTACTCGGTGTTGTCTTGCAGGCAACCCTTCAGCACCATGGTCGGCCGGAAGCTTTAACGTTCTGCTCGGCAGGCCATGGTCGCAACATACAGTCCTGAATTCAGCCAAAGTTCAATATATTCGTTAACATAAACTGCCGGGTCTCACTACGTAAAAATGTTCGGGTCAGCATAAACATCCCTATACGTCTGCTGAGCATCTCGGTATAAACGGTCGTACATCGCGGCACGCTTCCGGCAGTACGGAGCGAACCCTGCATAATCATCGCCTGGGTGCTGGATAGCCCGGTCTCTCCACATCTCGGCGTGGTGAGAGAAATACCTCCCCACCGAATCAAGTTCCCGGCGTAAGATGCCGGCCTCTTCTTCCAGGCGATCAACTTTGGAGCGTGCGTGGAACCAGTGAATCCGGTGAACTATAATACCGGTGAGACATATGGCGGACACGCATGGAGTGTACTGCTCACTGATTGAGAGTGTATCATTCCTGTCGAGATCTCCTCCGACATCGATATTCCAGATCCATGACGTCGATTTGTGCCTCTGGCCGGGCTTGTTTGGTTCGGCGATGGCGGTGGTGACATTGAGGTCCTCTTTACTGAGACGCTGATACTTGAGTTGCTCCTCCTCTGAGAGACCGAGGACCACCATGGCAGCTCTGCACCTCCGGTAGATTGACGCATGAATAGAGACGGCCCGGTCGAGCTTGTTCATTGTGGTGAATGCTCGGGTGCGCTTGGTGTTGGACTTGCCATGCCGAATGCTGGTACGAAACTGAAAAGACTTGTGGCCGAGAAGGAGGCGGAGCTGGTGGAGCGCATCATTGGCTTGCCACGCCGAAGGGTGAGTTCCTGCTCGGCCAGACGTTTCAGACTCTCATCATCAAACACGACAGGAGATAAGTTGGATGGGAGCCGAGCGGGGTCTGCTCGGCCATGTTCTCGCTGTGCGGAAGCTTCGGCCGGCTGGTGAACATACTCCATGGGCCGTGTGGCTCCCGGGCGACGACCGGGCCTTCATCCTCCCATTCCTCATCATCTGCCTCGGATTCATCAACACCCCAGTCTGCCCGGTGGCTGATTGCGTTGGCTTGCCGGTGAAACCGTCGGATTCGTGTCTCCAGGGCCTTCCGACGTTGAGCGAGCTTCAGTTGCTGAGGCTTGGTGATCTTTTCGCCTTGCTGCTTGACGTCTCTTCGGATGGTAAGTCTGTTGGTGCATTAGCATGACCTCGTACTGCGGCATACAAGACATACTGTAGCTCCTCAAGCTTGAGGCCCTCGGCGATCCACTCGGCAGTCCCGACAATCCGGCCACCGTTTCCTTCGGCCTCGGTGAGCTGTACCAGGAGGTCTGTCTGAGTGGGCACTGCAATGTTCAGGGAGTTATGTCACCGTGCGCCCGGGTCTATCGCATGCACTCACATATTGGTTTCTTCACAAGGTATTTGTCCATCGCTTTCACATTGGTGAGGCGCCGGCGTTGAGCGATGTTCAATTCGCGCTTCCAGCTCTGCAGAGTCTCGGCGTTCAATCCTGACTCCTTCGCCGAGAGGTCCTGTTTCATCTCGGCGAGCAGGGGCCGGTTCGCCTTTATCTTCCTCCTTAGGGATGCCACTACCGGTTGTTCAGATGATGAGGATGTGGCAGTGGAAGCCCCGGCGACGTACCCATGGTAATCATTTTCTTCCAGTTCCAGTCATTCATGTGCCGGTCGAGTGTTTCCTGCCGGTGAGACGTCGACATCGTCCGGGTGCTGCCAGAGATACGATTTGTCGTCGACCACTGTGTTTCGATGATTTCGCCGTCGACCTCGCCGGCGCCCTTTGTGAAGGTCAGCGAGTGTCGGACCTCGCACACTGCCTGATGGCCGTGTACGTGGAAGAGGCCGATGCACTTGTACAGCACCAGACCGCTGGGCATGTGAAGATGGGGGTTACCCGCAAACCGTTTGTCGAGATACACATGGTACTGGCAAATGATGTCATAACATAGGTAGACGTGGGTGAGGCCCTTGGATTGATACCCGAGGGCATTTGATAGGGAGTAATCCATGTTCATTTGGCGCTCCCCTTTCTGAAAGTTCACCACCGAATGAGGCACGAAGCAGCCGTGTCTGGCACACGATGTTGCACCTATGCCGGTGACTGCCAGCTTGTGTCTGTCGGCGTTTGCCTGCGATACCGCTTTATGATCGTGGCAGGTGGAGGGCTGTCCGCTCGTCAACACCGGGCCGAGCGTTATTGCCCGAGTGGTAAAGCTCACCATCTTGACTTCTTTCGCCACCAGCAGGTGGTCCTCATAAGGCCCGGGGTTGACCATAAACATCTTTCCCGGCATAAGAGGAACATCGTTCCCTGGATTCCGCATCCGCATCTGCTCAGCGTGGAAGTTTCCGTCCATGACGTACGTTCGGGCGTACAAATAGCTGCCGGCGCTGTCAGCTTTCGCAGAGTACGTGCACGCATCAACTTACTCTCGGTCGTCGGCCTGCCACTCGTGTGGGATATTTACACCGGGCTGCGGGCATGCAGCACAGAAATTGCAAGGTCACCGTCCCCGGAACCCACGCCAGCCGGCCCGTACCCATGCTCCTTCTTGGCTTGCAGCAGGGTCCACTCCCGACTCACTCTGAGGAGCTCCAAATATCGGTCCTTGTCACTCGTGAGCCATGTCCTCGCACCTCTTACAGAGAACCGCACACTTACCGGCACCTCATGGGGGAACACAGGATCAGTGACTCGGCGAAGACGCCGGTAGTAGTTCATCGCCGTCGTCTTGCACTCAAGGTTGTCGAGCAGGAAGTCATCGAGCACGGTGAATGTGAAGCACGTTCGAGCGGCACGTTGACTGGCCGGATACAGGCCACAGTCAAGGAGCTGAGAGGTATGACTGGCCGCGCCGGCGCATCCACACCATCTCACCGGCAGAAAGTGTATGCCGGTCGTGTCGACGATGGTCATCATGGACGCCGGTGGTCTTGGTGGAGGGTCGGCATGTCGCAAAGGATCGTCCTGAGCAGCCTCCGGGTCGTTTTCTTCTTCCTCGGCCGGCCGTTCCTCATCGTCATCATCGACGTCGGCGAAGGGCTCAGGGACCGGGCAAGGTGCACCTCGGTGACCCAAATTGATGCACAGCCCGACATCCTTCAACCAGGCAGGGGCCCAGTAGCCCTCAATCCTCCACTGCTCCACTCGGTGGAATGGTGTTCGGCGGTGCTGGGTGAGACAGCAAGTGTGACAGTAAATGGGCGAACCGATGCACGATGAACACTTCCACACGCCGCCTCCGCTACTGCAGCTTGCGCACTCGAAGGTGCCTTCTCGGCCGGTCGTTGGGGGCTTTGACTGCCATAGACAGACCTGAGGTATGTATTTTGCAGAGGGATCCACTCCCGTAGCATTTGGGGTTGAGTCTAATGAATAATGTCATCACCGACATTGCTTGTGCTGATCTAACTATCGTACCTGGGGAGCCCCTTCCGCGCTGGTAAAAGATCGAGGAATATATTGTTAGGAGGCTCGTCATCCTGCTCCTGTCTCATCCAGCTTGACTGCCTCGTGGATGGCTGCGAGCGCCGCTGAGGAGTCGGCGGTGGTGTTTGCAATACATTCGTTTTTACGGGAACGATGCGGGACTTAACTCCCCGCTTGGTTCTCGTCCTCTGTATGGCAACCTCCACCACAGTAGGGGAGCTTGCCCTCGGCAGTCGAGCCATCGTCCAGCCTGGAAAGCAAGGCTTCAAGGAGGTCGGCCGTTTGTAACGGGCCGGCCGGAGCACCCGGATGATGCGAGAATATCGGTGGACAGGGGGGAAAAACCAATGAGATTCATTGGACCCCCATCGGTGCAACTGTCACACCACTGGCCGTCACCCGCACCCGGCTGTCTGTTTGCGGCGATGGGTCCTCGGTGATCCGGCCGGAACAGCTGATGGAATATGCGTTACGGTCGCAGATTTGCCTCTAGTGAACGAAGCACAAACCCGACATCAGACAACGGTCCGGGAGAACCACCTTTGGCTCCGTAGCAATTGATGCGGCCGGCAATCACAGGTTTCGATCGTCCCGGCCGTTGATCCGAGTCACGTGCTCACGCCCAGGCATTGCTTGGCCACCCTGGTGTCGTGGTTGGGGCACATTCCAGTCACCGAATTGATGAAAGTGACTCGGGCATATGGGATGTCTGTGTCGCCGGCCGCTTGGCCCCTACGAGTGGAGCGGAGAAGCCGCCCCGGTTCTATTCCAGAACGTGCCACCCGTGGTCGGTTGCTTCGTTACAACGATCCGGCCGGGCGCCGAGCCCTCGGAACGGGTGCCCCGGGCTGCGGGCTTCCACTCAGCGCGGCTGGTCGTAGTTGCGCTGCCCCGTGGTGTCACATTGCTGTCACTGAGTGGTTTTGAGTTTCGACTTGGGACCAAATGGTCCGAGCGATGACCGGCCGGGTTTCTAACGGTCCGGCCGGTGGTCTGCCTCAAGATGTTTGCGGCCAAAAAAGCATTGAATGTACAGTGACGACCGACACAATGAATGTAGATATATCTATACTAACATAAATGATGCAGAGAAAGGGCAAAGCCCCGGTACAAAATCGTAGACTATTTGGTGACTGGTCATAAACATCGGTGTTCGTTTGGGTGACTGGCGCCGAAACACATCTCTTCCTCAAGCCTCCACTTGTGCCTCCTCCGCAAAGCCCACTCTTCCTTGCAACGTTCCTCGTCCCTTGCCACAATGGGAAGGTCCTACTGGCAGAAACCGTCTTCTGCATTTAAATCGGATTAAGTTGAATCAATATTGTATTTTAGATCAACTTAAAGGCCATACACATTTAACCCAATCCTGTGCTAAGCTATGGCTTAGCCAGTTGCTTGGCCAAGCAGGATCAGTACAGCTAATCCATACAGGTTTAACCATGGATTATCCATTGTTCATCCATTGCTTAGACTTTTTGCTTAGCCAAGGACAATCAGTACAGCTAATCCATACACACTTAACCATAGATTAGCCATAGTTTATCCATTGCTGAGACTTGCTGAGA